GATCAGAAAGGTTACAATTCTTATAAACGTATCAATTTTATGTACATAATAATACTTTGTGTGCAAAATAATGCAGCAACTTTATTTTATTAGCAGTAATCAACTTTTATATCAATAACAATTCAATAACAGGGTTACCACTAATAAAAACGATAATAAAAATAATTACTCTCGCCTGCCGAATAAACGGGAGGAGACGTTTATTAATTTTTTTCCGACCCCTCGAAGCTTATTAGGAACCCCCCCCCCCCCCCGATTATTAATTTTCAAATAATATCAAATATTCTTGCAATTGTTTTACTTTGAGAAAAATATTTCTCTCAATAATAGATGAAAATATGAACAACCAACCAAAAAAACTATTTAAAGACGACCCTTCGGTTTATTAAGATTCCCCCCCCCCCCCCCTGTTTATTAGATTTTAAAAAAATTTCTGACCCTCCTTTTTATTAGGACAACCCCTCCCCCGTTTATTCGGCAGGCGAGAATTCTGTGCGAAAGTAATTTTGTGTACATAAAAATATTTTGTATGCAAAGTAATGCAGCAACTAATTATTGGTAGTAATCGACCGTTATACGAAGAATCAATTAATAATGATACAATAATTTCATGAACCCAAACAATGAACACACAATTTATTTATTATTCGTACGACATATAACATAAACTAGAAATAGCATAAGAATTGAACAGTGAAACCCAGTTTTGAAATGTTAAAAGTAAACAAAATTCTTACCCTAACTGTACTAAATTTCTTTTTCTAAACTGTTAACTAATGACCAATAAAGTAAATTTCAAATCATGAAACTTTACTAAATTAAAACCATATTTCAACAGTAGGAAAACTAAAAAAAAATAGTAGAATAGTTAAAAAATGAAGAACTGATGAAAAAAAACTGTTAATAAAAATCTAGTTTCAATGAAACTCAAAATTTGCTTCTAATATGATCTTTAAACAGAAACTTGAAATATATAAAGTAACCATCTAGTTTAACTTCTAAAAACACCTGTATCATGCACATTATATTGCAATTATAACACAATTGTATTACAACTCACTATTTAAAATAATTATTAATATTATGATATAATAAATTTATGCACATAATATACCTAAAATATATAATTATACACAAAAATTATTTATAAATTGTAATAACAATAATAACATTAATAATAAACTTTTACACTAAATACATTAATAATAGTGAATAGATTTAATAACATTATATAACACTGTTTATAAACAAAATTATGTAAAAGTAATAAAATAAAGTTTCATGATGTTCTGAGTTTCATGATATTCTGGGGTCATTAATTTTCCAAGAATATTTCCCAAAAATATAAATAAAAATGTAATAACAGACTTATTTTTAAATCTAGATATAATTTATATATAACTTATACTATAGATATAACTTTAACTATAATTAAACTATAATTTTAACTATCAATAATGCTAATTTATTAATAATGAAAACTTTATAATTATGTCTGTTAACTCAAACTTTTACTTTTTTTAAGTCAGATTTTAAATTCCCAATGAACTTTCTATACATACCGAAAAATGTCCCTAACTCAGACAATCGCTAAGTCTGACTATTTATCTATTCCCCTTGAAAGTCAGACTAAACAAGATTCTACTGTATATATTTTTTAAAGTATAATTTCATGCTTAAAAAATACCAAAAAAAAACTGCAGAACTTTCTAGGACCACTATTTAAATTATTCTATAAAATATATAAAACAGTAAATAATATATTTATATTATATTATTAAATAAAACAGTTTAAATTGGATCAGAATTCAAAATATCTACAAGTTTCATTCTACGAGGATTATTCCTAGCAAAACAATTAATCACTTCATTCACATCAATGCTGATACCTTGGTGAACATGCATTAAAGCAAGACTATTAAATCTATTCTGTGACATTGTGTTACGTAGATAGGTTTTTAAACGACGATTGATCTTTTGCAAGTGCATGTTGTTATTGGAATAGTTGCAAGAATTTGAATTAAGGTAAATATATTAGGAAAAGTTATTCTATCAATAAGAGTAAGGAGTTTGGTTAGAGAATGGCAATTTTCAAAACTGCGCCAATAATCTTCCCACATGTTCTATTTGGTCATGATATAGCGTGGTTCCGGAAGTTCATCCTCATACTCATTTAAAAAAAGAAGAAAGTTGCTTCTCCATTCAGCAATATTTAAAACGTATGTTGGCATTGCAAAGAATCAGTGCAACATTTAAAATGTATGTTGGCATTATAATATAATGCCAACATACGTTTTTGTTTATAATAAACAGCAATGTTTCTATTGCTATAAATGGTCAAGAAAGGGAATTGAAATAACTTTCTTGTAATACTCATTAATGATTCACTAGGACAATTATTTTGATTAGGCTGTTTTCCTATTGTACAAGGCTTGTGCTCATAAACACCAACACTAGCTGCCAATACAACTGCCTCACTATACCAAACACCATGACTGTGTTCAATGTCTGATCTTAGTCGCTGTAAAGCAAAATTTAACAAATTTACTTTTTAACGCGATGCAAAAACATCTAAGTTTGAAGATTGAAATTGTTTTGTAATTGGTCTTGTTACTTCCAAACAGTCGGACACCACTACTAAAGTAACAAGAAACTGGAAAGATCTAATAGCAAAGAAATAACTATTTGCATCACGAACTGAGTCATAATTCCAAGACTTTTTATCGTTATTAATCATTAGCTCAAAGCATTTAATTATTAACAGGAAGTACCTCTATAAACACATCTAATCCATCAATTCTGGCAATCCATTTTGTACAACATACATCTATTAGACGAGACGCTTTTGGAAACATTTTTTTAATTTTTTTTTTTCAGAACATCAAAACGCTTTGGACTAAAATTAAAGAACTGAGATATAACACGAACATTTGACATCATATTGCTAACTATTTGTATGTTACAGGCATTTGCATGAGATCCACAATGAACATACAATGCTTTTGGATAATTAGTTTTTATTCTTACTGCAGCACCGGAACAGTTCCCAGCCATGTTACCAGCTTCGTCATAACCTTGACCAACACAAAATTTTATTTCTAATTCCAAATCTTTAATACTATTCAAAATTTGATTAGTATTATATATAGGCTATAGCTTCTCCAGACAAACCTGAGTCTCAAGGAATAAAGCCTAAAATAGTCCACAAATTTCACAATTATCATATACAAAGTGTAATACAAGTGGCATTTGTTCAATATTGCTAACATCAGATGCTTCATCTGCTAATATTGAAAAAAATTTAGCGATACAAAGCACTTTTTGGAGTAGAAATTTACCCATTCACCATACTGTTTTCTGCACAATCAGATATTAATTTAAATCAAAATTGATTGAAGATTGCCAAAGTTACTATTTTCATTCTCATAGTAAAATGAATTATCTCAGTGACCTCGGAGAGATATGTTTTGTTTTTCACACATAATAATTGCCAGAACTATTGGTTTAATATTTCTCTATTTTTCTTGACTTGTTCATTAGAGTTGCAGTTTGGTAAATTGGTGAACTTTCAGCATGTTTATTAAACTTATTAATGGCCTTCATTTTGTGTTTCAGTAAAATTGTGTTCATGCTTAAGTATATATACTTAAGCATGAACACAATTTTACTAAAAAAAGGTTTTTTAAATTTAAGTACCTAGAACAAAATTTTACACACCTTTCAGCTTAAATAAAAAAATTTGTTGTAAAATGTTTAAGCAAAAAAAGCTTTAGTATAGCTTTTAGTATAGACTATACATGATTTCTTAATTTGCTATTATTTTAACCATTAATCAACACAATACACACATACATAAATACTTCGTTTGTTTTTTTTATTTTATTATAAATATTTTATTTATAATATATATTTTTTTAATTTAATATAATTATTTAAGAAACAAATTGTTACCTCACTGGTTGAAAATCACTTTCTACTCGAAATGATTGAGATACAGGAAACTGCATACTTGAAACTTTGCATATTTTATTTAATATACTTACTTTAGATTTTTCATCAAACAAAAATATTTCTCTAATTTTACTGAGTTTCGACAATAGCATAAGATAAAAACGATTCCTTTTTCTGATTGAACCTTTTTTTTATCTAAAACACATTTTAAAATGATTTGAAGCATTGAATTCGCCAGGTTTAGAACACTTAACCTACAAATTAACCAAAAGTTTTGTGAAAAATCTTTTTTTTGATTTTTACGTGATTGGCTTGCACCCCTCAGAGATCTTTCTGATTGGCTCAGCACTGTTTTGATTAGCTTAAAAAACCAAGCCAATCAAAAATAGCTTCTGAGGGGCGCAGGTCAATCAAAAATAATTCTGAGGGGAGCAGGCGAATCAGAGTGCGACTATACGGGAGTTTCGTAGTCGAAGCATAAATATATATAAAATAAGCTAGCGTTGAACGCAAAGTACTACACAACAATGAAGGTAATTATTTATTTATTTTCGACTTCCTTCACAAAAATGAAATCGCAAATTTTGAGTTGAATAAACTATTTTAACAATTCAATTTTTATTTATAAAAATATGAAACGAAATAAAAAACTTTATTTGTTGAAAGTTGACGGGTGCAGGAGCACTCTTTGCACCCTCTGGATCCGCCCCTGATATATATATATATATATATATATATATATATATATATATATATATATATATATATATATATATATATATATATATATATATATATATATATATATATATATATATATTTATATATATATATATATATATATATATATATATATATATATATATATATATATATATATATATATATATATATATATATATATATATATATATATATATATATACATATATATCCATTTAGTCGGCGTGACGTCACGCCGAATTGCGAAATAAATTAACCATCTTGAATGGAGTGAAAACAAACATATAAATATCAACAGCGTTTTAAACTTTTTTTATGACAAAAAGATGCCAAGGAGTTGTTGTGTTGTAGGTTGCACAAACAATTGTAAAAAAAACAATGAACTTAAGTTTTATCGTATTCCTAAGAATGAAGCGCTCAGAAGAAAATGGTTAAATGCAATTAATCGTGCTGCAGATAGCACTTCGTCAAAACAGTGGTCTCCTACGTCTTCAAATGTTTATGTTTGTTCAGCACACTTTATTACTGGTAAACAACTTTTATTAAGATTTGATTTTATATACTAAATGAATTACAATAAATACTACTTGTTCAAAAATATCAGGTAAAAGAGAGCTCTTTGAGAAACATCCAGATTCAGTTCCATCAATTTTTGATACTGGAATGAAAGGTTCTCCTCAAAGAAATACCAACAATAAGAAAATTAACCGAGTCAGTAGGAGGATAAATAGACAAAGTAAATATTATTGTTTGCTTCAGTTTATTTGTAAATAATTACTTTGATGTTGTTTAATTTTAAATTTTTTTTTTTTTAGAAATAAGTGTTCCTGCAGGCAAAAAATTAAAACTATGTGCTCAATCAATTAAAGAGGATGTTGATTTTGTCATTGAAAAAAGGAGTTTTAGTAACAAAGGTAAGTTTTAAAAAATAATTATTAAATTTAGTTATTTACAATTTAAATTTGTATAATTTTTGTTATAATTAATAATGATCATGTAGATCTTGTAAAAGTTATGAAACCGCTCCAGTAAATTTTTATAAAATAAATGTATTTTATACTCAACAGAAATCGATATTCAAGTTAGTACTGAAGATTATTTGCAGCAATCTGATATCAGTAATCCTATAAGCTCCAAAAATGTTTTAGAACAATCTTCCAGTCATGGTATTGATTAATTTTTTATTTTAGTTTTTTACATTTTTGCATAGTTTTAGATTTTTCTTTTTAACAATTTTTTCAGAAATTAATAATTCTATACTTACTAGAGCTATTTTAGAACGTTGACCATCATAAATTTAATTATAAAAATAAAATGGCTATACAAATATAAGTTTAAAATATGTTTTCTCTAAAAAAAATTGTGCGAATTAAGTTTTTTTTAGCACTAAGGTCTTCAATTACTTTTAACTTAACTTCTATTTGTATTTTTTGTTTTTGTAATTTTGTTTATTTTTTGTTTATTATCTTTATTTTGTAGAAGTTGAAAAATAATTTAATAATATATTTCAGAATTTAGTGTTCCTATAATTAATGAAGATGTTTATGTTCAAGATTCCAGTAAGAGTTATATACAAGGTATTAATTTAAAAGTTATTTAAACATCATATGCAAATTTAAAATATCTATTGTATTTTTTTCTTATTTAAAGGAAAGAGTGCTCCTGTAAACATCAATGTTCAGCAAAGTTCAACCAATAGTTCTTTAAAGTCAGAAATGAGTTATACTGAAAAATCTGAAATTGATATTGAAATACCTCTTAAAACATCAGAAAGACAACAATTATACAGTAAAATAAATAACCTTCAATTAGAAAGAGATTTATTTATGTCGAAGTGGATATCATTAAAAGATAGCAATTGCAGTTTAGGAATAAATAAAATTCGAGCCAATCCTGATAAGTGCAGTATGCTCACTGGACTTAATCTTCCTGTATTAGAAAAACTGTTGAGTTTCCTATGCAAAGGAACTCCAAAAAGTTCATTAAAAAGATTTAATATAGAAGATAAAATTGTTTTCTGTTTAGTTAAATTAAGGCACAACATTAACTTTGATATGTTATCATTTATGTTTGACTTTAAAAAAACAACTGCCTTGGATAACTTTTGGAAATGATTGATGTTATGTATGTGAAATTAAAATATTTAATAAAAATGCAAGATGGAAATCATATATACGAAACAATTCCTCCTGTTTTCAAAAACAAATTCCCAAGTCTAACATCAATTATTGATTGTTTTGAGGTTTTTGTGGAATCACCATCATCTCTAATGGCACGAGCACTATTTTACAGCCAATATAAAAAACATTGTACAATAAAATATCTAATTTCATGCACACCTAATGGAACGATTAACTTTATTTCCAAATGCTATGGTGGAAGAGCTTCTGACAATCAAATAACTCGGGAATCAGAATTTGCATCTAGCAAGTACCATATGCCAGGCGATCAAATCTTATCAGATAGAGGTTTTACTTTACAAGACAATTTTGCAGCTGGAAGTTGCTCTATATTAATAAATCCAGCTTTTACAAAGGATAAAACACAACTTTCTGCTTCGGAGGTAGAAAAATCTCGAAAAATATTATCTGTTAGAATTCACATAGAAAGAGTTATTGGGCTGTTTAAAAATCGTTACACCATTCTTCAAGGTGTGTTGCCTTTACGAACTGTTAAAAACATTACTGATGAAGCTACCTCAGTTACTCTTTCTAATTGTGACAAAATTGTAACAGTTTGTGCTGCTTTAACAAACCTTGGTGAAGGAATCGTTTAAGCTTGCAAAACGGCTATTTTCATAGCTACATATCTTAATAAAAGCATTATTTGACAAAAAGGACCTCATGAGGTGGTACAAGAGTTGTACTCATGGATTTTCTTTTTCCGGAAATTTTGGAATTTCGGATTTTATTATTAACTTTAAGTTTCCCAGATATCCTAAAATTTTCCAGAATTTAAAGTTGAGGTATATCTTTTGGAAATATATTTATTTTCAAGCTTTTAAACTTGTTGCTCATACTGTATTAGCGATAAGTGAAATTGCATAAAAATACATATATTTCCAAAATATATATCTCAGCTTTAATTTCTGGAAAATTTTAGGATATCTGGGAAAACTTAAAGTTGATAATTTTTATATGTCATACTAAAATTAAAATGGAAATCAAGTCAGGTAATAGCAAAATATAGTGGAAAATATAATCCGGATTATACCGGATATCTTACCTAATTTTTAAAATATGACCCGGATGATCAATGTATAATCAGGGATTATCTTTTTCCGGATATTTTCTTTAGTTTTTTCCGATATCCAAAACGTTTTCTATACATACAAGTTTATATATATATGTTTAGATAATATATTTGATTTTTAGGGGCTTTTTAGTCATCACTCGTTCAAAAAAGAAAATTTCAAAAAAATTAAGATACAATTCAGCTGAAAGCAAATTATGAGGAAAATAAGAGAAAAAATATTCCGCATTTTTTCCGGATATTTTACGCAAAGAATTTTCCTTTTTTTTTTCAAATATTACCTGGATGATCTATGTATATCGTCCCTGGTGCCCCGAAAAAAGGAGAAGCCTTTCTGCATTACATAGTACATATTTTCAGACCGCAAATACATTGGGATCTACTTTTGCTGTTAACAGCCCTGTAAATAAGAATTTTTCACTATTCAATACGAAACGTATATGGTATGGAATACAATACGATACGGAAAATGATCATGAAAACTAGTCCATTCTTTAAAGTTAGGTGTGTTGAATAAGTTTAATAGAATATTTATAAACCTAATAAATGTGCAAAATACGGATTAGAATATTTATTAGGTTTGAAAAAAACGAGCCACAACTTTATGTCGTTACAACATAAAGATATAAATGAATAAAATATCGACCGGCGTCTGAATTAAATATGAAAATACATTTCGATACCTCTTTGTCAAAAATGTAATAACTTGTTAATACGATTTTTTAGTAAAATAATTTGTTACTACAATTTTATTTCCTAAATTTGATTTTGAGTAAATTGGCGTAAAAAAATTTCGTTGGAATCTATTCAATAGAAACATTGTTATCATTAGTATTTTGAGAGTTCAATTTACGCATCAAACTTTTTGTATAATATTGATAAATAAGATTTTGTTTATTTAGGTGCTCCAAGAAGTGCTAAGGGTCTTTTTATAGAGCACCGCGTAACAGTATTTATTTCACGCTTCCTTCATTACTAATCTTGCATACATTAGCCGTCATCGAACAACGATAGTTTACAGTGATTATCCAAGTCATATTTTAAAAATCCGGTAAACAGTTGTGTATAAACAGTTGTAAATTCGGAAAAAATCCGTTTTATATTTACTCTTACTTTCCTATTTCTTTTTTATATTGCTGTATGAATAAAAAACCAAATAAAGCATATATAAATTACAAAAATACAAACAAATAATATGTAGGTCAGACAGTTTGGATATCCGGAAAAACATAAAATTTAGAAATATATCCGGAAAAAGATTACCCCTGGGTTTAAAACAATATTATAACATAAAATACGATAAAATGTTTTCCCGCGAGGAATAAGGTAAAATATTTTTTTCCAAAAAAGAAACCGATTAACTTAAGGAAAAATACCGCCTTACTTCTTTTTTATTTAGACCAGGTAATCAAACTCTTCCTATTCACCAAGATTTCGGGGAATAGGAAGAGTTTGATTATCTGTTAATCTGTAACAGTTTTTTCAATATTATATCATATGCTTTAATGTTTTTAATACTATGTGGCTATGAAAATAGCCGTTTTTTAAAAATGGGATATTCTTTATTTCACCTCAAATTATGATTTTTCTATTCCATTTCTCAGCATAATAATGTTAACAACAAATATCATGAAAATAATAAGGAGAATAGCATTAATACTACTCCATTAATGTATTGGTTTCTAAGAAGATAATAATAAAAAAATGTATTATTAAAAAAAAACTTTTGCTGCTAAAATTATAAAAAATAATTACGTTTTTGTGTGCAGACTTTTTCTTGTTTTTACAGCTATTGCAATACCATACAGACGATCTTGGCACAGATTTCAAAGATATACATTTAAGATGAAACCAATTATCACATGAATCACAGCCGACCATTGTATCATCATTTTCTGCGCTTTTAGATTTGCAAATACAAAAAACATTATCATTATTATTTATGGTTTCTGTTAATGTAGAGAAGGGCAATTTCATTCCTGATTCAACTTCTCTTGTTACTAATTCCCTCAAAATAAATCTATTCCAAAAAACATCACATTTATTAAACACTCATTCCATAAAACTAATGTCAGGTTCAATACGTAAAACTATAAACTCACTGGGTGTCCATACCATAAAATCACAATAGCTCACTCCAGTAACTCTCATTTCAAGCTGAACTTGGAAAAAATATGTGTGCTGTTTTAGTAAAAAATATTTCCCATCCGTATTTAATCCTACATAAAAAACATCTTTCAGTATTTCTTCTTTCAAAGATTCGTCTTTTAAACTAAAAGGGCATTTGATTTCTAAAACTCCATGTCCACAACAAGTGCAATACACAGAAGCATCAGGAGATGCTGCATATCATGGTTTTTCATAGTCAATGCAAAGCCCTAATTTTTCAACTTTTAAATTTTGATGGATGACAATGTCTGAAAGTGCCAATAAGTTATGAGCTTCATTACAGTCTGAATAAAGTTGTCTATATAAAGTCAATGCATTTTTCTTATTTTCTCTTCCCCACACTATTGGAGAACTTTTTATTGTTATATATTTTTCTGAACAAATATTTAAAATTAAAGATTTAGGTGGTGTCTTAACTCTAGCATAAAAAACTTGATACAAAGTAGAACCAGTTATTCGTCCGACTCGTACCTTATACCAAGAATCACACAAAGATTGATTTCGAGTTGCTTCTTCAACATAGACAATGTCATCAGAATTTAATTTTAAATCTTTTATTTTTTCATCAAAAAAGGAATTTAACTGTTCATTATCTAGAGATTTATAGTTTGCATTGAAAAAATTTCTGAGATATAAAGGCAATTTTGCTACAACAGTAGATTCTAAGTGTATAAATTTAGTATCAAAATCTTTAAACAAACTGAGAGCAGCTGTTTTGGGCTGTACACTTTTCAATTCTGACAAAAACTGATATTTTTCAATATTTATTGGAGAAACAGGCATTTTCCTAGTTCTTTTTCCTGTAAGTTTCTCTTTAGCAGCATCAGAATATAAATTTATTTGAGAAACTGGGAAACCAACAATATTTTTTACAAATGTTTGATTCCATTGACATGGTAAATCAGTTGGTGTGGATGATGTCATTCCAATGCGAACAGCAGCTTCAACTTCATATAATGTTGCAGCTACATGTGAGCATGTTTCACCAAGGCTGTTAAAAACAATAAACCATAGATTTAAATAATCCAAAAACACCTTTAAATAATTTCAACAGATTTAAATAATGTAAACAAAATTTAGTAGTTTATAAAAAAAAAAAATTTTTAGTGTTAAATTATTATAGTCAAGTGCTCTCCAGACACTTACCCGGCCATACAATTACAGTGAGCAGTCACTACATTACCAAGTGAACCAAGAGCAATCCAAGGCTTATGATTAGGGGATGTGGTTCTGTAAGAAGGTCTAACATCACATTTTAAGATCATGATATCTTGACTTATCTTCATATGGACAACAGTTTGCACCCAACCTTCTTGAAAGAACTTCCAAGCCTCCAATGACTTGTAGTTTTCCATATCTTCTGGAGAACAGATGCCTACATAGTGTTAAATGTTTAAAATAAGTGTAAGCAAACATTAGTATTCAGTGAGCAAACTAACATATTTTTAGGATTTAGGAATTAAATATATAATAACTTAATAAATATATAATAACTTATAAACAACTATTTAGAAATATTTCTTACATGGAGTCTTAACCAGGTATTGATATAGATTATGATAACTTAAGGAAGGCCATTGACTTGGATCTTCAGTCCAAGAATCAGTCGGATACTTATATGGACACTTGTCCAATCCTAAAACGATCAAAATGCTATGCATTAGTTTCGTTTATTCTGACAAAAATTATTTAAAAAAGTAAATTAACATAAAAAATAATCACCTAAAAGACTTAATTTTCGCTGATATCTTTCTGCTGCTTCTTTTGATAAACTTTCAAAATAATTGAACGACATTATTACGAGCGCTTTCTTATCTTTGCGTTAAGGTGTAATGATTTGTTTTCCCTACATTCAATATGGTTACTTTTGTTGCGCAATAAGTCACGTGATTCCGACTAGATGGATATATATATATATATATATATATATATATATATATATATATATATATATATATATATATATATATATATATATATATATATATATATATATATATATATACATATATATATGTGTATGTGTGTGTGTGTGTGTGTGTGTGTGTGTGTGCGTGTTTGTGTGTATGTTTGTGTTAGTGTGTGTGTTTCTTTTATTTTACACTTATACGTATAAATGTATCTACAAAATAAATTTCAGCTCAGCCAGTGGCAAAAATTGGACATTTTAAAGTTATTATTATACGAAGTAATAAATCGTTTAAAAATATGTTTGGTTGGAGGAGTATTTTATATATATATATATATATATATATATATATATATATATATATATATATATATATATATATATATATATATATATATATATATATATATATATATATATATATATTTTTTTTTTTTTTTTTTTTTTTTTTTATTTAATTCACCTCCTCAAGGCCGAGAAGGCCACTACAGACGAGGAGGCTACTTATTTGTGGTTATAACCCTCTCTCAACTCTATAACTCCGAAACACGAACCCTGACGAGCAAAGCCGCTGCGCGGAGAAACGAGTTAAGCGCAGTACTACCAGGGACGTGGTGGGGATCGAACTCGGAACCACTCGTTTATGAAGCGAGCGCTCTACCACTACACCACTACCGCAAATAATATATATATATATATCTGTGTGTGATATATATATATATATATATATATATATATATATATATATATATATATATATATATATATATATATATATATATATATATATATCTGTGTGTGTATGAGTAAATAAAAAAAATGATGTCTATTTAGGTAATCTATTTAATGGCTTCACAATCTTGGGCTTAAGTTGTTTATTTTGAAAACGCAATTGAAGCAGAGGCAGTTGTTTCATCTTGTTGGGTAAAAGATGGTTGGTTATTTTGGCCAACTGGTGTTCACCCAATGAGAGCTGCCTATAATAAGTTTCTAATTAATGACTCCTGGAACTAGCTTAAAGTTAAAAAAACTAAAGTAATTGGAGGTCATTAAGTTTTACTGTATTCATTGCTATTATAATTTTTTTATATGAATAAAAAAACTATTATAGTTTTATATTAGTGGTGAAGTACAATTTTAAATAAACTGTTTTCTTTCTAATTTTGGATAAGTAATATTTTTAATCTGTTTTATTTATTATTATCGCTTAGATATATATTACTATCTTTTTACACTTATTTTACATTTTAGTTTTTGCATTATTGTTTATATTTGTTTTACTAAATAATTACTAACAGATAAAGAAGTATGCGAAGGGTTTAATTTCATAACTACAGAGGACTCTGAAGAAGAATGTGAGTAATTATGTTTGTGAATAATTGTGTTTCCCTTCGAATTTGACTTGTTTTTGTTTTTTAAATGGTAAAAAATTAAAAAAAAGGAACTGTATGTATTTTGAAAAATAAATATGTATTTATGTTTTATGTATTATATTTTATTTCAAAGCATATATAATTAACACTCAAGAAAAATTGTTCAAGATCACTAGTTTATCCTGATGTAACAAATTCAACAAGAGATCGTTCACGCTCAAGAAAATTGTTCAATCAGAGATAGTCAACTTTGAAATTAATAATTAATATCACCTAAATTACCTCTTCATCCTAAAAACATAAATAATTTTAAAAGTTCTGAATTATGTTTACAAAAAAAGTTGGATTCATCAAATTCATCTTCTCCAGCTTTTTTGGCCAGAACTTCTAAATAGCCAGTTAGTGCGTCTTCTCATTTTCCTTTAAGTACTGAAAGTAAGTACTATTTTTATAGTTTTCTAGTTTTAATTTATATTTTAAGTTAGTCCATATGCAGGTATGGGGGAAGAGAGAATCACCCAAAAGTATAAAGAAGAGCAAGGGTTTTAAAGACAGCAAGTATGCAGATTATCTTTTTTATGAATTTTTTTCTAAAACAGGATTCCTATTTTTAAACACAAAACAATGCATTTTTCTTAAGATCTTAAACCACTGTGTCTATCGTATATTTTTTTAAATAGTCTGTTCTTAAATTTAATACATATAATGTTCTAAAAATAAATTTGTATCATCCTCATTATATATCATGTTAGTTACAAACTATGATCTATAAAATTTAGGCTTATTTTAAGGTTTTAACATTTTTTGTTAAAACCTTAAATAAAAATACAATGGCTAAACAAGGTAATAAAAGTAGTAATTTAGGGGCTGTTCATATGGATAAAAAACATCCCGCCTAACCGGGGTACCCCGGTTAGGCGGGATAAATTTCAGCTGTGTTCATATGGAAAAAACATCTCGCTCTAGCGGGACGTTTTTAAGATCATGTGACATTTGTTTATATATAATCATTCGCGAAAATTATTAAATTAAAAATGGAAGTTAAAAAAAAAATAGCTTCCATTGCTACAACTAATATAATAGCTCTCCAAACTTATTTAATGCACATTAGAAGTATAATAATATTACGTATTTTACAAAATGAGCATCAAATTAAACTTATCATTAACAATCTTTTAGGAAAAAAAAACTTTCGCCTTAAAAAGCTTAAGGACAAAATGTTAAGAAAAAATAGTATAAATCCCCGTAGCTGTTGGTACAAACTTGGACGGTCTGATAAGTGGTGGGAAAACATGATAACTGGTGGTTCTCCAGAAATTTGCTGGGTTAAAAATTTTAGATTGTCAAAAAGTGCATTTATGGATTTGGCCGAACAACTTAAACCATACATAGCCCCTAATCCGAAATCCCCTAATTATAGAGCTTTGAGCACAGAAAAAAAGCTTGCAATTACTCTATACTATCTTAAAGATACTGGTTCTTTATTAATGACAGCCAACTGTTTTGGGATTGCAGTAAATACCGTCTCTTCAATTATTACACAAGTGTGCGAAAACATTGTTTATCACCTAGGACCAATCTATATATCTCTACCGAAAACAGAAACCGAAATGAGACAAAAGGTAGCTGAGTTTGAATCCAAGTTTAATATGATTCAAGCATTTGGTTGTATAGACGGTACACATGTGCCAATAGCCTGTCCTGTTGAAAACTCTCAGGATTATTTTTGTTATAAACAATATTATTCCATGAATGTTCAAGCAGTATGTGATTATAAAGGAATGTTTATGCGTTTGGCCTGGAAGTGTTCACGATAGCAAAGTATTTGCAAACTCATCCATAAACAGAAAACTACGCAATGGTTCCTTACCATGGTATTACATGGATACAAAAAAATTGGAATATATATTATTGGTGATCCAGCCTACCCCTTGACTCCCTTTTGTATAAAAGAGTATCAAACTTGTAGAAATAACGAGCAAGTTTTAATAGCATGCTTCGATCGGCTCGAAACCCTATCGAATGTGCATTTGGGAGATTAAAAGCTCGCTGGGCAATTCTTACCAGAAAAATAGATTTTAAATTGGAACTTGAACCGAAAATTGTTTATGCTAGATTTGTTTTACATAATTTTTGCGAGAGACACAAAACATTAGTTGATTAACACAGTGTAAATAAGCAAGTTCAGCTAATTAAAGATAATGAAGAAACTTATATTAATCAACCAAACCCAGTTTATTCAAACAATACAGCAGAAGGAGAATTCACAAGAACATTGCTTACATCTTACATTACAGAATGTTTGCCAAGCTAATAATGCTTAAATCATAAAATCACTTATGATGGTAAAATTACAGAAAATTTCTGCATAATTGAAATATATAGTTTTGTTTATATATTTTTATTACTGCTTTGCTAATTTTTAATTATTGTATTCATCAAAATCTATATGATAAATAAACAAAAAGTATTTTGAATAGTATTGTACTATACAAGTACGTAAAATACTATAAACCTTTACTAAACAACATTAATAAAACAAAGTTATGGATGTGTTTCATATTATAAAAAACTATCAACTATCTATTAACACTCTCGCATATCAACAGGTGCTCTTTAGTCGCAGAGCAAAAAAGTATAATTAAATGTGTGTATAAAACAGTTTTTCTACTTTTCCTTGTTTTCAGGAGCTGATTCAGAATCTTTAAAATTTTGAGAATATGTAGGTGCATTAAAATTGTAATAAGTTGGAATAGGTTGGTGTTGTGGCAAATAATGTGGTTGAATAGGTTGCATTGCCATTGCTAACATTTTAACAATTGAACGACACATGCTGTTACCCACATTAACCATGGAATTGCTTATTTGCTTTAGTGATTTAGCAAAGCTTTCACTTGATAAACGTAAACTTTCAGCCAAATCAGTTTTAAATTTAGCATCTTCTTTTGCTTCAGCGAATAATAGTTTGTCACGTTGACTTGCAGACAAATTTTTTTCTAAATGTTTTCGCTTGTTATCAATTAATTTAGGAACTACATTTGTCTTTCTTTTACAACTTGGTGTAGCAATAATCACGTTTCTTGTTTCAGAAAAGCATTCTGGTGGTTGCGTTGATAATTGGTCAAGAGATTCTTCATTAATAAAATCATATTCAGTTTCTTCATTATAACTGTTTATGTTTTCTTCTTCAACTTGACTACTTTTTATACCAAATGACTAAGGTTTTATATTTGCTGAAAAACCCTAAATTTCAATCAACTTATCATAGAATTTGTATACAATTTTTCCACTTCCACTCTTCGTTCCTAAAGTGACAGCTTTTGAAAAGTTTTGTCGTACATCTTTGACTTTTTCAATAATTCTAGACCTTCCTTTTGTAATAAATTCAGTCTCTTTATGATATATATATATATATATATATATATATATATATATATATATATATATATATATATATATATATATATATATAAGTTTTTTATATTCTTTATCGTCCATATCACCTTTTGTGGTAAACTCGACAGGTCCAAACATCCATGTTTCATCATTGTTACAATACAATTTTGCCATATCATCCCTTAAATGTTTATACATTGCCAGCTTGTCGCCATCAAAATCTATTCCGCGGTAACTCATTTGTGATTTATAATTAGAAATAGCATCAATCAAATTTGCTACCATTTCAGTATTCCATTTGAAAACTTGTTTTTTAACTTGTTTTATTTCAACAGTCACCATTTTTTATTCGATATATTTGAAACAAGAAGCACTTATAAAATTATTAACTATTTTTGTTTTTATACGTGGTTGAACGATTTAAACTTAAAAATTATCAAATGCTCATTGAATTTCTTAACAAAACTGTCCAGTCGAGCCGGGGTGATTTTCAACTTGTGTTCATATGAAGAATTTTCACCCCGCCTGACCGGGATCCCGGTAGTCCATAGGCGAGGTCCCGCCTAGGCGGGGTGAGAAAATTTATATATAAACGCGATGTTAAAATTATAAGAGTTTATTAAGATAGGCGGGACCCCGGTTGTTTTTCTGTCTCGGTTAGGCGGGATGATTTTATCCATATGAACAGCCCCTTAGTATTTTGAAAAAAAAATGTTTTTTTTAACCTTAACAAAAAGATAAATACGTTATCTTTAAAATAAGCCTTAATTTTATAGATGATTTCTTTACAATCTTAATAATATTTTATAATTGCATGATATTATTAATTTTTTTTTTTTTAAATACTTGTAAATTTATTCCTCAAAATTATTATATATATATATATATATATATATATATATATATATATATATATATATATATATATATATATATATATATATATATATATATATATACAAATGCTATATTAGGTCACAAAAAGTGTGCTATAATTCCTTGAAAAAAGAAGGCAAACAAATAATGATGAAAAATATTGATCCCTGCCTTTGCCTATGTGTTATTAATGTATATATATATATATATATATATATATATATATATATATATATATATATATATATATATATATATATATATATATATATATATATATATATATATATATATATACATTAATAACACATAGGCAAAGGCAGGGATCAATATTTTTCATCATTATTTGTTTGCCTTCTTTTTTCAAGGAATTATAGCACACTTTTTTGCATAGATTAAGTATTTTTATAGAAAAAACTTTCAAGGGATTAATTAAGCGTCTATTGAAAAAGAAATAAAAAGTTTTTCAACTCAGCAATATAGATAGATATACCTATATATATGTCTATATATGTACATATATATATATATATATATATATATATATATATATATATATATATATATATATATATATATATATATATATATATATATATATATATATATATATATATATATATATATATATATATATATATATATATATATATATGTATACATATATATACATATATATAAATATATATATATAAATATATGTATATATATATATATATATATATATATATATGTATGTATATATATATATATATATATATATATATATATATATATATATATATATATATATATATATATATATATATATATATATATATATATATATATATATGTATATATGTATACATATATATACATATATATAAATATATATATATATATATATATATATATATATATATATATATGTGTTAACTATTATTTGTGATCTTGTTTATTCTAAATGTTTTAAAATTATACAGGTGGTATCAATTTTTGTTAAGAAAAATGTGTATGCAGCAAGGTGAAAATTGTCACAACTGCACAGAAAGAGCAGAGAGGTCTGAAATAAGTGGTTTTATAGCATACATGTTTAATAAGCTGCTTTGTTTTTTAGAATTTTAGAAAAAGGTTTTTAAACAACTTTTAAAAATTAAAAATATAAAGGATTTTCAAAATGTTTTTTCCGTTGTATCCGAAAATCTGAAAATAAATGCATTGAGTTCAATAAAACAACTTATTAAGCTAGATACTACGTTTAATGACACTGTTATTTTTTCTAAATGGGTAAGTTGCCCTTTTGCTATTCCTAGTTTGATTTTTTTCTTTATGTTGTGATGGTAAATACATTTATATTGTTAACTGAGAAGTTGATTAAACAATATAATTTTATTTTATTTAATTTCTCATTCTATACATAATTACTTTTTGTTTTTTCAACTTTCGATGTTTTTTAGTTTGTTTAAAAGTTTCAAGGATTTTATTATAGATTGCCTTCAGTTATATAATAATTAAATCATTGATTAAAAATTTTTTTGAAAGCAGATGCCGCAGATAGCGAAAATTGGTGGAGTCAACTTAAAAGATAATGTAAAACGTGTTATTGAGCAGTAGGTCAATTAGTTGTTAATGGATTATTAAAAAAGTGTTTGCAAAATATATTTATTATATTAAATATGATTATACCCTTTTTTAAGCATATCATTATATGCTTTACTTCATGTATCATAAACTTTGCATTGTACAATACTGCATAATATTTATTCAAATAATTCCTAAGTTTTTAGGCTGTTAACAATTGAGTTGCGCTGTTTGTTAAGCATGAAGGGGCAAATCGATTCCACAAACAAAACTAAACAAAAGTTGGCTTTTTCAAAGACAAAATTATATCGTGTTTCAGTTGGTAATATGTTTTGTTTAAACTTTTTATAAATGCAGATTTTTACTAATACCGTTCATGCAAGAAGTTTGAATTTTATATTTTAGAGAGTCTCAAAAAGATACCCTGATAAAGCAGGCAAGCAAGGCAAGCAAAAAGATACCCAGGTGAAGCATACAAAACTGAAAAATCAATTCTGAAATATTCGCCAATAAATTTTTGTAGAAAGCAGAAATTGAAAATTTAGATTTTTTAATGACATTTCAGGATATATAATATGATTTTGTTTGTGTCTTGTGTAAGCACTTTTTTTTTAAATATACTTTTATTTATTTAATTTTTCATTGTATTATAAATGTTTTTATTCAAGCTTTTCAAATTTAAGCAAATACAGGTGTCTAATTAGATTGCTACAGATAAATTGATTTGTTGATGTATATCAACAGTTTATTATATATATATATATATATATATATATATATATATATATATATATATATATATATATATATATATATATATATATATATATATATATATATATATATATATATCCACACACACACAAACACACACACACGCACGCACATATATTTATGTATATGTATGTATATGTATATATAGATACACACACACATATATATATATATATATATATATATATATATATATATATATATATAT